ACAACCACTGGCTCCAGGTTCATGCAGTAACAATGAGTTGCTAGTTCCTGTATGAGTAATAGTTACATTTCTTTGGCAAAATTCATCCCAATTCCACACACATTTCCCCCGATGAGGGAAAGAATTTCTTCTGCTGTCCAGGCCAACAATTCCCCACATAAAATTGGTCATTCACTCCATGGCTGTTACATGAGACATTGCTGTGCGAAAATTGGCTGCTGTGTTCGCCTACAAATACATAGCCATTACACATTCCTGCAAGCCCTGTGAAGTGCTTTGAGACCTCTTGATGATGTGATAGGCTCTATATCAAATGCAAGGTTTATTAAATATTGTAACATACATTGTGTAACTTGGATCTGAGTACAGAATGCTGAGTACTAAAATATATACAATCTTTACTGATTTATAAATTAATTATTGGAGTTCATTAAGATGAATATATATATAGCCTACTTCCTTCAGATCTGATGGTCTTTAGTGTTTGGAAGCTGCATTATCAAGGCCAAGAAATTAAAACTTCACCTAGGATAAGATTGCAATCTACTTCAATCCTAAGCACTATATTTTAAGAAGGATTTGTTGCAACTGTAGCACATCCTGCAGGAGAGATCTTTCATTTTATTCTGAGTTTATTTCAAATGGTTATTTTATGAAATTTTCCAATTTCTGCCCCCAAGACACAGCCTCGCTCCGCTTGCCAGAAATTATTGCTCATTTATTTATCTTAGATTATTCATACAGGATGCTCTTGGAGTGCAAATAATAAGAAAACTGCCTGAAGTCAAGCTAACATGGTTATACTCTACATAACACTACAGACACTTCAGTAATCTGTCACTAACCAACTACTATACTAGTTTATAATACACATGCCATAGATAGAAAGAATATGCATTTCATAGCACTTCATCACATCAAAATGTCTCAAAGTACGTTACAAGAAATGATTTCCAAGTGTAGTAACTGATTTGATAAACATAATTAAATTCGGCAATGTTATTTAGATATAGCATAATCAAGTAGGTAAGGGAAATACATTGCAGAAGTGTTTGCATCTTAAAAGCTTTGAGTGAGCGGTGACCAAGATATTCTAGTGGATTATGACAAGATCATGTTGAAGTTAGTCCCAAAACAAGAGAGCATCGTGTATATCTTTTCATGTTAATGAATTCTACAAGCGAGCTAATGCTTTGTGTTAATGGTTTGTAAAGAGGTGATGGTACTGTAATGCATGAGGCCCTATAATATAGGATAGATACTGGAATGTAACTTGTGGATTAATTTTAAAACGGCCTTCAGTATCAATAGGGATTACCGGGATATGCCTCCCCTTCTACCTTGACATCTTTTTTCAATACTGAGATCAATAAAGACATTTATCTTCCGGCTAGTGTCATAACTGACAATTACCATGACCTTGGCTTTCTTCCTCCCACCAACCTTCCTCTTTCTTGGTTGAAAAGTCTATCAAAGGCCACCGTCAAGGCTATCACATGAATAATGGACACTTGGGCCAGGCTTCAGACAGTGCAGAGACCAGAGAGAAGGAAGGAGAAAACAATTGGTGAGAAAAATGTTCCCCAATTCCCTGCCATAGCATTGTAAGCTTATGTGATTGCTCACTACATTTATTAGTGGGGGAGAGTTGCTGTCGGAGCCATTTCGACAAATTTATTGCCATGGCATGAAACCAGCAAGGACATTTTTACAGCATGATAGACAATTTTGAACAAAGGGAGAGAATCTTTAATGTGGCCACCCTAGAATCGCTCCTAATATATACAGAATTCTTAAAGTTATTTGATTATTCTGCGGAAGACTCACTAGGGTGAATTATTACCAAGCAATGGTTTAGATAATTCAGAAACACCACTTTGATTTCTGGCCACGTAATGTGCACTGTTATAAACGCGTCCATGAGTGGCCATTGAAAACCAATCAATAAATCATTGAACTGAATTGTCTCACACTGCCAATTAAACTGCTCCCACTTTGGCCCGCTTTCATTTAAGTGTTGCATTACTGAGTGACGAGGTTCAAAATAATTCAGGGTGAAAACACTGATTTGAAAAACAGCACAACATAAGGCAGTGTGGAGTGATGGACTTCAAAACTCACTATCCCCGACACAGCATAATTTATTCTTAAACCTTCAAAGTAACGTATCTTTCCACACAGCATGGATAAGCTGAGCATATTGAAAGATTAAATCAATGGGAAGTGCTCAGACGAAAACCACTGACTGCCCTCCCCCACCAAGGTATCGTTCTCCCCTGCATAAACATCTAGAGTTGAAATAGTCTTATAATTTTGCACGCCAGCATAGAGTACATGGCTAAAGGGAGGTAAGTGTTTAGAGGGTTAGACCACTGTGGCTCCTCAAATGGATTAAAATGTTGGTAAGCAAAATATGCTGCTGCTCGTGAAACGGACAATAGATTCACTGCTTAGGTCCACCCTGTGAAATCTGATGCAATTGAATCGAGGCATCTTAAACGTAATTCAAATCTCTCCTCGGCAGCTGGTAACAATGTAAAATACTTTCTGCTATCAAAATGAGTGATCTTTTGCTTAGTGGCAGGTTTATAGGGTACGAACGGTTGATATGATTTCCCTGCACACAGTGATTAGTCGATGCAACTCACCCTTCTAGCTGACACAAGTCATCTGAACAAGGTTTTCTACATCAAGAACCTCATGTTAATTATAGCTATAGGCTCATCAAATTCTGTTATTATATTAGAGATATGGGTTTAAAAGGTGGCCTACTTTTCTACCTTCATGCTATGAATCCGGACATTAAATAGGTCTCCTTTCTCACCGTCCTCCAAAGTGGAATCTTTATAGCTCTTCTGTATGCATACTGATAGAGAACTATCATTGAGAAGTAACTGCATGTAAAACAGAAGCCTGGGAGTCCCATAAAAGGTAATGTGTATTCTTCCCTAACTGGACATTAGATCACAAATCTCTTCTATTTGCTATTATAGATTTGTGAAAAGTGGGCATGCTTGAAACACTTGCAATTAATCACTTACATTGTCCCTTTGATTTCCAAGCTGGGTGAGATAGGCAATGAAACTGGCTTTATGGAAGTAGAATCTTTCTGTGATAGATATAAAGGGGCAAGGCACACACACACACACACAGAGGCCTCCGTCTGACCTATAAACATTTCATGATGGCTAATAAACAGTACAAAGCAATTTGGATCAATGCTATTCCTTTTACTATCATCTTTTTGAGCACCCTTGAAATTAAAAATGGAAAGGCAGATAAGGACCATCCTTGGGACGTTCTTGTACATAAGAACACATAAGAACATGAGAAATGCTGGACGAAAAAAGACCAAGGTGCATCTTGTTCGCATTCACTTTCCTGGCAGTCGCATGCACATATGTCCTGAAATTCCTATGTTTTCTATCCCATAATCTTATTTCCTATTTGAAATAATCTTGTTTAATGGCCAAGGCTACTCAGAAGGGCAGTACCCCGTAATATTCATATAGTCAATGTCACAGTCCTACAGGATTAGGAACAATATCTTTGAAATTAAAGGAAAACCTTTCCATTTGCCAGCATTTATGGTCATTTGCTACCACAAAAAATTGTCTTATGGACTAGCTGTCACTGTGATAAATTTAATTTCTTAATAAATTTCTCTGGAAGCTTTTCAATCACTGAAATGGAGTCTTGTGTTTTATCTTATATCAGGAGAATGGAGTGGATCCACCATACTTGTCAGTGCCTCTTTGTTAGAGTGACTATGTTCTTTGCAATTCTGGGAATCAGCTGATGCAGCGGCAACAAGCTGGAGACTGATAGGACTGTTGTAGCCTCTGAAGACCAGTAAACATGTGTGCCTTGGGCGTCCTCCAGACATGAAAGGCGTTTTACAAATGTAATATTGTATTCTACTGAGGAGCCCAGGCTCAATACAACAGACTTAGAGGACATTTTTTCCTAGCTGGATCGTTGGTTTTTGATGTATTTGGTGTTATATTTGGTGAAATAACTCTTCTGAAAAGATGATTTTTTTTCACCCAAAGTACATATTTCTGAGCTGCTCCCTCCTCTCCCATGGCTAAGTTGGTAAAGTCATTCTTCAGTGTAAAACTCAGCCACACATACTAAGAAGATCCTGGATTCAATCCCACATTTGTGTTGAACTAAATGATCTCAGTTACAATACTGATTTCAACACCCCTGGGCTATGTAAGGATCAGCCAAAAGTCACATTCCTGACGGCTAGATAATAACTGCTGCTGAAAGGTAGATGTGCGTGGATGTTGGGTGATGAGATTTTTAGGTTTGGTTCAGATAACTCCCAAAGTTGAATAGTCTACCAACTCTCACTATCTAGGCCCACACATTAAGACCGACCACTTGGATAACGTAACAAGAGGGTACCAGTTGGCATCTTCAAAAATGACAGGAGGCAATTCATTTTAAATGTATGTCCTGTGATTTACTCTTAAGGGTACTTAAGAGTCATTTCAGGTTTTTCAAAAAATAGAGCTTTTTCTCTTAAATCTTCCCAAGAGATAGTGACTAAGTCTGCAGTCCAATGAACAATCCCAGTCAGTCCAGTTACTACAAGAAACAGGCTTCCAATAGCTGTTTGAGATTTGAAAGACATTGTGGGAGATGAATCTTTCATCTAACCTTGCTACATGTTTTACTTCGATCAACAGCACCATGTGCTGATGTGGTTCAGTTACTGACAGATGAAATGTCACTAAATGATACACCCTTTGTCAATCACTGTATATCAAGCACTGTAGTAAGTAAAGGAAAATATAATAATTAAGAAAATACTAGCGTTAATTAATATTTCATTAATAGAAGGTCCAGTTGTCTTCAGTGCGGACAGTTAAAAGAGTAGGTATAATTTATACCAATAATTTTATGAGACAGCAATTGTAGATCTGCATCCATATTCTGGGGAGTATAAGACAAGTACACTTGATTGTAAATAGTTCAAACCTCCCACAAACCTGTGTGCATCATCAGGATCACAGTTGGAAAGAAAGCTTGTAACTGCTTCAGACACTTCCTTATTGGACAAAACATCCCACAATCCATCGGTGGCAATAACCAAAGCATCATCAGCTCCGTGCTCATTCTCCAACAGGTCATAAACTCTCACCTGGACAAGAAAACAATGCTGTGAGCCATTTAAACATTTAAAGAAGGTAGATCAATTGTACACAACATGGATTCCCTCTCCAATGTCATTACTTGTCCCCAAATAAATATCAAAGACAAGACAAAAAAAAATTTCGTAAATAAAATACTCTTATCAGATGCATAAGTCTATTTTACCTTCCATTTTGTTAAAAAACATTGAAAGGAAATTTTTGCACAATCTGTTTTATTTGCTGCTAAATAGTCGGTTCACTTTACAATATATCCTGTGAAGCATTTTGCGATATAAAAGGCGCTGTATCAAATGTAAGCATTATAAATGTAAATGTAATATATACACAAAACAATGGAATAAACAAAAATCATTATTATTAAATAATAATACTAATAATAATGATTTTTGCTTATCCCATTGTTTTCTGATCGCGTTATCTGGCTTTAGAGGCAAAGCTTCAGGCCAGAAGACTTACTGTTGTGTACTCAGATTGTGCAAACTTTCAGTGCCGTCCTTCAGGTCAATAGCAATTCAAAGGACTGGATATGGAAATCAGTCCGTTAATGTTTCCATGGAAACACCTTGACATTCTATCTCGCCTAATCTCCACAGCTCATAAACCATGCAAGGTAGACCCATCTTTGTAGATTTACACTCTGAATTGAATTGCTTTGAACAGCAAAGATAGGGAACATCAATAAACGGAGGCCACACTGACACAGCGATTGTAAAACCTACTGTTGAAGCCATAACCCTATTTTAATATGTTTGAAATAAATCCCGTCTGGTGTAAATCCACAGTATTGTGTACTGTAGGTCACTGCCTAGCTCTGATGAAGGGTCAGACCCGAATCACTGCTGAGTGACCAGTTGTGTGTCACTTGCTTTTTTACATAGATATACATAGACTGTATAGCAAAGAACAGCTCATTTGGCTAAAATAGTCCGTGCCTGTGTTTATACTTGACATGAACCTGCTCATCCTAATCCCCTCTCCCTCAGCCCTCTATTCCCTTCTATGTCATGCATGTGTTCAGTTTACTCTTAAATGCATTAATGCTTTCTGCTTTAACCACAGTTTCAGGCAGTGAGTTCCACATTCTCACCACTCACTGGGTACAGAATGTCCTCCCAAAATCCTTTCTAATGGCTATCTGCTATTTTTACTTGTGTTGGGTATGACAGGAATTATGTTTGGAGAATTGCACCGAAAATGTAAGAATAAATGTCACTGCACTTCTCGTTTATTGCAATTCTTGTAATTAGTCTTACTCATTAGCATATGTAAATCTGACAACAGTGTCATTAAGAATGAATGATTCTCTCAGTAATCCCTGGCGTGGCTTTGCTTTCTCCATTTCATAGAGGTTATATGTCAAGAGGTATACAATGTCAAGCTTCTATTTGCATTTGCAAAGGATTTTAATAGTATTTTAAAAATATTCAAAAAAGGTTGACCTATAACCAAACACAGAGATTGCAGCATGGAAAGAACTGCCGGCTTTTATTATGAGAGGAAAGGCCATATTATGTTCTGATTTACATATGCAAGGAGGCTCCTTTGAAATACACGTTCCTCACTGAAGTCACAAAGGAGATGCTATATAATAATAATACTTGCATTTGATATAGTGCCTTATCACGTCTTTGAGATATCTCTAAGTGCTTCATAGAATATACTGTAAAGTGAATTAACTGTATATTTTGTGGGTGAAATGCAGTAGCCGATTGCACGCAGCAGTGTCCCACAAACAGTAGTGGAATGAGTGAACATTTTATTATCTTTTAAAGGAATTATTACCCGCAGAAAAGTGATTCGCCAATCGACTGACAACCAGGTTCCTATTTAGTGCTAGGTAAACAGAGGCGTGTGGATTAAAGAAACTTGCCCAACATTTTTCCATGCCTGGAATCGAACCCAGGTCTCTCGCTTGCGAGGTTAGTTTTCTAACCACTAAGCTACTCTAGCACCAAATGCACAGAAATAACAGCCAGGATTATGAGACTCAAGTCTTGAGGATATAACCTATATTGCCATCCTACAACGATAATGCACAAATTGGAAATAAAAAAACAATGACTAATGAAATCGTTAGGCACTTATATTGATCATTCAATTGTTTGTGTGTTTTCATTGTTCCCTGGGTTAAGGCTCTGTGGTCTCAGCCGAGATTAAAATAGATTTTCTGTGGCATCCAATTTGAAAGCTGAGATCAATCCTGAAATGCAACTTCACTTAATTGTCAGTTTCATTTGCATATGCAAATATCCTTGGATTAAATAAGCAATTAAAGTTGTAAATCAAAAGGGAGTTCTTTTTCATATAAAAATCTATTATTAGAGGGTATATAATAATAATGCCTGCATCTGGTACAGTGCCTTAATAAGTGTATTATTATATACTCACTTTTAAGTGAAGTGACAGTGTATTTGTAGGCAAATGTGGCAGCCCATTAGCGCACAGCAATATCCCACAAACAGTCATGAAACAAGTAATTAGTTTTATTTGGGGGATTACTGGCCAGGTGACTCTGGGAGAAACTCACTTCTCTTTTTGAACAGTCCTGTGGGATCCTTAACGTCCACCTGAACAGGCATCTCATCCGATGAATGACACCTCAATGCAACATACTCGCATCACTGCATTGAAGTGCAAGCAAGGGCTTGAACCCACAATCTTCTGACTCAGAGATGAGAGTGCTACCTACCAACTGAGCCAGGCTAACACGCATCAATATACTCTTGGAATGCAAGGTGAATTAGTTGCTACTTAAACTAAAATACAGGGCAAAAGCATTGTCAAACAGCTGTACTACAACACATCAGTACACTTCGTAATAATATAACATTTCAAGGTTACAATATCTCGCAGTTGGTAGCAAGAAGAGATTTGCATTCCGCAAGGTGTAATCTGAAATTAATTGAAGGTTGACTCATGCAGAGGTTAAAAAACGCACATCGAAAACTATACACCAGCATTTATTTTATTTTGCTCAAAGAGTCAGAGAATGGTTTCTTTACCTCAGGAGTACATGACAGAAAGGGCTTTATGTGGATGTTAGAATCATGAACCTTCAGGTCATGGTCTCCAAGACCTCGCGTGACACCTATAGTCGCCATCACACGGGCCTGTCAAAACAATACACATGACATGGCTTAGAGCAAGGAAATCAACAGGGAACTTTCATCTAGTTTTCAGGGTTTCTTTTCTGAGACTGTGGAATCTTGAAAATCACTTAACCTATTCTGCTGCCCCACACTTAAGCAACTGAAAAATTAAAATCGGCATATTTGTGTCGAGCTACCTGTATAAGTAAAGCATGTCTCGGTGGCACTAACACTGCAGAATTCAAGCCTCAAGACTTGTTTTTTGCTAGCGTGCCAGAGCAATATTTCACCTCGACATTCAATGCATGAATGAGAAGCAGAAGAAAGGGCAGAACTAAGTGTAAAAAGGCAGAATAACTGAAAAGCCAATGAAGGAAAGGGCCAGAGAAGTAGGGAAGTTAAAATAATATTAAAAGACAATATGTTGAAGACAAATCTGAAGAACATGGGGGTAATAACAATAATTAAAGGTGGAAAACAAAATAATAAATAAGAGCGGGGAGATATTTACTGTATCAGTTATGTTTGATTTTCATGCATTTTCTGCAGTTTATATATAAAAACCACGTAGCAAGACCTCTCTACTGCGCCAATCTTGTCTTCTCAAGTACACCTATTACTATGCAGAATTACCAATGAATAAGTCAAATTTTGCAGTAGTAAATCTTTGTTAGACAAATCAGACTTCCAAAATGGTCAATACAAAACAAAACATCTGTAAGTAAGAGAGCTGGTGCCTCCCTGAGTTGGTGCAGCAACACCTCATGTTACAGATGGTCAGCCTCCTGATTGTACCTACAATTCCCTCATAAGCAGCGAGTGGCACTTGGGGAGGACTGGCACCAGATTGCCTACCTGTAAATGCTCTCGCTGCCTTTCCACGTGTCCTGTTTGTGTAGAATTTTTTTAATAATAATTATCCTTGCATTGATATAGCGCCTTATCACATCTTTGAGACGTCTCAAAGCCCTTCTCAGAATATACTGTAAAGTGAATTGAATGTATATTTTGTGGGCGAAATGTGGCAGCCAATTGCGCACAGCAGTGTCCCACAAGCAGTCATATGTAGCCAATGTTTGTTTCTGTTCAAGACCATTTTGTCAGTGGTTAATAAAAGCTGTAAAGAATTCTCTGCCACCCCCACCAACCCCATAAACATACTCTCACACACACACTGTTTTGTTAGTTGATGTGCATATGATATATAAGCTCACAAAGTTGTGCAGAGTTCTGCTCAGATGATCTACGTGCACTTGGTTTTCCCTTCTTGGGAGTAGGACAGATAAAAGGGCAAGTTCAGCAATGAGAGACCTGGAGTGTCACCAATAGAAAAAAAATATTTCATTAAGAAAGAGCAGCAAGTCACTCTGAATCACGGCAGAGACCAGTAGAGAGAGAAAAAATAATAAGTATTCAGCACTGCGGTCCCAGAGATGGACTGGCTCATGAAGAATAGAGTCTGGCTGTGAGCCTGAACCCAAGGGTGAGCGAGTTCAGCGTTCATATCTTCTGAAGCACAGCACAGACCGAGGTGCAGAGAGAAAAGTGCACAGAAGAATTACACGTTAAGTCATAATAAAAGGGGAACACATCCCCCCGCTGACTGAGTTGGTAAAATTACTGCCAAGAATGAAATTGAGCCATAGACCACAAAGGCCCAAACCCTACCCCTCCCCCCCCCCTCCCCACAGGAGCTGAGTTGGCTGATCTCAGTTAGAGCAGGAATGGGAGTACGATTAATTTGCATCAGTGTTATGGTTTGCAAGGGGGAATTGATAGTTTTCCAGTGATCTCTTGACCTCCCTAGCTCCACCCTCCACAAACACTGACTCCATATAATTGCCTGCACTGGGCTCCACACACCAATGACCCCCATCGTTGCAAGGCCCCACTGGCTCACAGTGCCACACAGGATTGATTATTATCCTTGTTCTGACCAATTTTGGGTTAACTCTTGCCTCTCACTTCCTGTGTTTGAACATCAGCGACCAGGCTTTCAGCCACTATGTCTCTGCACTGGAGTATGATCACAGCCACTGAAACATACTCCAGCGAGAATGAGCATCTTCGGAAGAGGAGAAAACGCTCAAAAAAAATCATACAAATAAGGTCATGAAGAGCATCCTTAGCAATAAAAGAAAGAGAGCAGAAAAAAACAAAAAAGAAATGTTAAACACAGAAAGGGGGCAACAGAGAGAGGTGAGAACAAGGAAATAACACAAAGCAGAAGACAGCACAACACAAAGAGAAATAAGAGAGAAAAAAAACTGGATAAAAGAATCAAAGCGGATGAAAAGCAGACGGGCAGCAAGACGTGCAAGGAAAGTGGAAAAAACACAGAAATAATTGGGGTTTGGGGGAAATACAGCAACAAAAAAGGAAGAAATAAAAGAGGCGCAAAAGAGGGGAAATTAAAATGAGCAAAGAACTAGAAATGAATTGTAAAATACAGAAACTAAGTCAGTAATCTCGCTCTTTGCTAAGGCAATATAGTATTTACCCCCAACGTGGGCACCTTCACAAAAGGAAGATGTAAATTGTGTAGTGTGCAGTACAATGGGATGAAAATGTGTCTCAATTACTATATCCCAGTGTTGTTAGAAGGAAAGCTCTGGCCTTCAATATCCTCTGAATACATCAATGGGAGTTGCTCTTAGAAATAACTACATTTCATATGGTGAGAAGTAAGCTTTATTTTATGAGAAACAATTGTGAAAGGTTTTAGAGAAAGCTGAGGTTCATTTTTTACTGTCATGGTGCAAGAATAAACCAGGCCTTAGCGCACATCTGATGTAAGAAGAAGGAAAAAAAAACTTTTATTCATATGTGGTGTTACAACCTACCTTTTTTCCTTCACCATAAATTAAGGGAAACTTTAGATCATCTTCTTCTATGGTTTTGTATGCCCTGTAGAGAGAGTGAGGGAGAAAGAGAGAGAGAACAAATAAGAGTTTTCTTCAGCACAGTAGATTCACTGCCCTTCCATATCTACATAAAATGATGGCCTCATGTGTAGCAGCTTTGTCAAAGTCCCTGGGGAGCTGTGCATCTCTGCACAAGGCACAATTTGTGCCAATTTCATTTTCTCATGTGTCTATCTTAATGGATACGGGAGGCAGAGCAATTATTTCTGCAAGTGATATGCAGTGTTAAATTTGAAGATCAGATTTTTTTTGCAAAGAACACCGTTTTAGTTCTGATGGAGTGAGACAGGAGATTACAGCTTTTTAAAGCAAAGCAGCCCTTTTGATGCACAGAAAGCACTGGAGTACCTGTGCATACATGATAAGGCTATAGCTAGATAAAGATTTTTTATTTTCCCCGATACATAAAAGAATTAGATTTTATTGCCATGTGGTGTCAGTGTTAGATCTAAAAAATCACATTAAGAAAAAAAAATTTACTTTATAAAAAGAATCTTATTTTGATATTTAGCAAACACAGCGACAGAAATGATCCAATTCAATAAATAGAGAACCATTTATTAGTAATATCAGTTGGATTAAACCCCACCCCCAATCCAACAGCACGTTGAGCAACAGTACAACCATTCGTCACTGCCAGATATACTGCTGCTCACAGGTCAGGTCTCCCGCCGTTTCCTGGGGCTTTGCAATACCTCAAGACATTCAGCAGTTGCATTTAGCAAGGCATAATCTATCACTGCTAAGAATCTGCATCCAGCTATAGGTTTACCGCCTTTTGTTCCCATTCCATTATTTACAATGGTTACTCTTCCTGGCACGATGAGACCTCCATTAAGCACGCTGAACTTTTACATGTAATCTTCCTGCGCAGACCTCTTATTATAGCCACAGATAAACACAGATTAATTTTAAAACAGTGATGATCATATGCAGATCCATGAGAGTTGCAGTTATGAAAAGTGGTGCGCTGTAATATTCAAACCACGTGTATCATTGATTTCACTATTGAAGGATAGGGTATAATTACACACTTGTCTCTCACCCCCACCTGCCCCACACACATCGTAATGTGAAACCTCAAATCATACCCACTAATGTACCTACCATTCAGAATAACATTGAGATGTACCTTAGCATTTGTAATGAGGAAACTTGTATTCAGACTAATGAAGCTTTGGTAAGCTGAGTTAGGATGTACAGACACAGAATCATGTAGCTTTCCTTAAGAGAATGGGGGGTGGGGATAGAACATTTACAGATGGAACTCCTCTGCATAGCCCATGCTAAAAGCAGATTTATTCTTGCCTCTGTATATGGTGCAACTTACAATCAATATTTACTTACTGTAATAGTACTGAAATAATCCACAGGACAGGTACAGCTCTGAAGATTAAATTAGAATGCTGAAAGTAGAGAGCTGATCACCTTAGAAAGAAGGTTTATATACGGTACATGTCTATGGGTTGCAGAATATTGCCCAGTTACATATTCCTTGGTTACTGCCCAGTCCTTGAGACAGGAGGTGGTCAGGGCTGTGTACCATGTCTCCCTGTTTAAAGCAGGACATGCTTTGTGAAGCACACTGTCATGTCAAACAACACGACCTCTGGGAGTATCACAGATTTCTTTACTCCTCAGCCTCCCCAGCCCACATTTGTCACTTTGCCTCTGATCATGTGAGCAGGGAAAGCTCATTCAGGGTACATTACACATTAGGTGCAAGGGAATGGTTGAATGAATCAATGTGACCTGTTATTGCTTGGATAGTAGATGGTTGTACAGTGTTAACCATTAAGCAATGAGCCACTTAATGAGTTGCTTGATTCAGGTAAGCAGACTATTGCTTTTATGTGCAGGAGAGATCTGTTTCTCTAGGATGATGGTTCTTGAGTTAAAGGGGTACATAACATCCTAATGACATGTGTTCGTTACACCATCCATCACTCATTCAGGATATGAATGACAAAAATCTCAACATATCACCATGATGAAAATGAAGCACAGCTCTTTTCCCTCCCGAGCTATTAAAACGGTTTGCTGAACACTTTATCACAAAGACAGCACTCCTTTAATATCAGCGGCACGGAGAATGATTACCAGGGGGTGACTATGAAGCTGTAAATTATCCTGGGCCTTTGATGATGGACATGAATTTCTCAGACATTATTCTAGTGCTTTTGTAATATAATCCTATGCCCTCAAATCATATTACTGCCTTGTAATTCCACCCAGGTATCACTTGCTACTTATAAGCTTTTGTCTTTTGATTTGAGATGGGCATTTTATTCAGGTTTTTCGCATTCAGTGATTTCATTGCTTCAGGTTTGTGGAGAAATAATTGATCACAAAGGTTGACAATACAATCACTTCAGAGAATCCGTCTACTCCCCTCCCACCCCACAGTCATGCTCTTACCAGCCAGTCATGTTATAATTCCGGTAAAGCATTTTCTTCCCCAGCTCTTTCCGCTGAACCCTTCTGGGAAACTCTAAGTGCGTGAATTCGTTTCCTAACAAATGTGGTTGCAAACAGGCCTGTTGAGAAGAAAACAGTGTAACAGTGGGAGAGATAATGTGCACCAACTTCACAAAGGCTCATCTTAACCTGGATTCTCCTTTGTTGGTGAAATGTTCACAGACTACATAGCACCATCCAGACGGCATTCAGAGTCTCAGATTAACAGTGACGGAGCTTGATGCTGAAAGGGGAGAGGGGCAGGTGACTGTAGGCATGTGTCGAAAGTGGAAGGTCTTCATGTGTGTTTTGGAGATGGGTGAGGAGGAGACCAGGCGGAGGGATTAAGAGAGAAAATTCCATAATTTTGGTGTGTAGAGGCTGAAAGCACAGTCGCCAATGGTCCTCCTGATGTGAACTCTTTGAAGGATTTTTTTTGACATGAAAGGATTATTATTGTGTTGTAGCTATTGTGTTGTATTCCTTTATAATATTCTTCCTCACATGGAAGAGCAAAACTTAAATTGAAATCAAGTTAATTAAATGGTTTAAAATGAACCAGAGAAAATGTATTAAGTGGTTGGTGAAGAATCACTTGATTGTCTGTAAATCAAAAACACTTCATTCATCAAAGATTTGCTGATTGAAAATCTTACACAAACATTTCCATTCATAAACAGCCATAATGATGTAATTATGTTAGACATAATTATGTAATTTCCTTCATTGGTGAGCATCTAAAATAGCATGAATCTTAAAAACATTTATGATCACATTGCTGTTGCAGGTAAAATGCACAATGTACACAATTTGCTACAAGTCAGTAATATATCATCAGAAGAGTTGCTTCACCAATTTGAAATGTTCATTTTTGAAGGCACCTCCTCTGCTGGCTGCAACAATGATATTTACGTTAGGGACATTTTGCCTACAAAATACAGTCAATGAACTTTAAAGTGTATCCTCTGAAGTGCTTTGGGATATCGTCCTGACGTGAAAAGATGCTGTATCAAACGTAGCGATTATAATTATTATAATTACTCATTGTTATTATTATTATTCATTTCATTTAGAAACCTGGGAAGCGCATGCAATTTTTCCAAAGGTGCAATGAAAACGGTTTAATTGCGTGCAGAATGCATCCTAGCTACAAAATCAAAACCTGAATGAACCCCAACATAACAAGGTAGTAATGCAATCCCCTTATTATTGATAAAACGTGTGTATATGGGCCAAAAATATCATCAAATGTGGGAAGTTAACACTAAAAGGTTTGGTTTGAAACTAATGAATATTCTGCAGGACAGAATATTCAGGGTCTATGATCCTTTGAAATTACAAGTTGAACAGATACAGAGCAAGTGCGCATACTGCCCCCTAGCTTCAGCTTTTTCTTCTGTTCTTAAATTCTGGGTCAGTCAGTTTACAGCATTTGCAGTATTTCAAATCATTGCACAAGTTCACTGCTTATATAATAATAATAATCCTTGCATTTGATATAGCGCTTCTTCACGTCTTCTAGACGTCTCAAAGCGCTTCACAGAATATACTGTAAAGTGATTTGACTGTATATTTGTGGGCGAAACGCGGCAGCCAATTGCGCACAGCAGTGTCCCACAAACAGTCGTGGATTGAAAATGACCAATTTATTATTGTTTTGTTTTGGAGGGATTATTATTAGGCGTGTGGAGTAGGGAAACTTGCCCAAGGTTTCGCCCTGCCTGGAATTGAACCCAGGTGTCTCGCTCGCAAGGTGAGTGCTCTAACCACTGAGTTCTCTGAGTATTGATAATCAATGAACAACAAACTAAAATCAAGCATCATAATGCTTGTAGAATCGGCAGTTTTAGATTTTTTTTTAATGGTTGCTTTACTATATGTCAACTCTCCATCCTTTCTTATTTGCAGGCTATTTGGAGTCATACACTTCCTCCAGACAGGACCTGAACAGCCGACAGCAGCAAATGATGGATTATCTCTCATGGTCATGGTGCTTCGTCTATAACCCAGCTGTGGCTGTCAGGTTTGAGTGACACACAGCCTCAAAGCTGCAACCTCCTGGCTGGGAGTGGAGCACCCACTCACTGTAGCTGCTGGGCTAATCCGAGTGTTTGCATCTCAATACTAACAATCCTTTGATTCGACTGCTGCAAGGCACCACGCCTCATATTGGAAACACTTCAGCTTTGTGTGAGGTTACTGTTCCATCAGACAATCACTGAAGACTCCACTTCTTATTTATTTATGGACTTGGAAAAAACATGTTTTTCTTTGTTCTATTTTTAATAGAATGGTTGTTATTCTATTTTTAATAGATGTTTCTTTTCTCTCTGTGCCGAGCAACATTCCTGAGGCAACTGTGCATTGATCCTTGGATCTGACATATAACTTCAAAATGCCTCTTCATAGATAATTGCTGTCAAGTTTAATGACTGTGTTTGCAGACAAACACGGCAGCCAATTTACACACAGACAGAGCCCACCAACAGCCAATTTAATCACTAATGTATCTGTGAGCCAGGGCACCAGGAGAAAGTTCCTTCTCTTTTCAAATATTGCAATGGAATTTTTCAACTTGTACCTCAACAGGCAGAAAGGACTTCAGTTTAACAATGCTTTACCTAAACCAAAGTTTAGAACTTTCAACAATGCAGTGCTCCCCCAGTACAGCATTGGAGTATCAGCCTTAGACTATGATCTCAAAGTCTTGAAGGGAAGCATTCTGACTCAGAGGGAAGAGTGCTGCTAACTGGGCCACGCTGACGTAATCAGCGATTCTAATAAGCCTTGCATTTGATATATAGCGCCTTATCACATTTTTGAGATGCCTCAAAGCACTTCAGAGAGTATATTATGAAGTGGATTGATTGCCAATTGCGCACAGAAATGTCCCACAAACAGTCGTGGATTGACTGACCAAATTTATTTATTTATTTCTTTGGAGGAATTATTACCCTCGGAAAGCAATCCACCAATCGACTAACAACCAGATTCCTACTTTCTGCAAGGTAAACATAGGCGTGTGGAGTAAGGAAACTTGCCTAAGGTTTCGCCCCTCCCGGGAACTGAACATAGATCCTCTCGCTTGCGAGACGAACGCTTAACCACTATGCTATAGGACTTCAGAGCTGGTAATCAATCAATCAATCAATCAATCAATCACTGCAGAACAGACACCAATAAACAAATTGAGGCCATTTGGAACTTCCTACATTGAAACAAACAAAAGAGCCAACAATACTAGAATTCTGGTGGCACAATCATAGTACTTGTGTGCCAAAGAGAAATTGACAGGATGGCTCAAGTAACTTAAGCAATTAATGGAATTGGGCTTTCAAAAGACAAATCACTCTGCCATTAATTATATTACTCTCCGAGACACTGCCCCGAATGAAGGGCGCTATATAAATGCAAGTTGCGGTTGTTGTTGTACTCAGAAACATTTCCAATGAGAATAACATGAACGGTGCTGAGCTACATCATTCTTAATCCCTCTCTATCTCCCGTACATAATTTCCAAAAGCCATAAAATATCATTGCTTGTTTGGTCATTCAACACCGATGCTTCAAGTAAAACAGCATTCTTTTAACCACACTAATAGTATTCCACACACTGTCCTTACTAGTATGACAACAATATGGGCTAAGCAATAATATTTTAATTGTCCTTACCAAATACTGGAGCCTCTGCCGCTCTGTCTCTGGTGTGAACTCTGAAGACATTGGAATAACCTCCCCATTGCAAATAATAATGGCCCTGAAACATAATAAACCCACAGGTTCATTTAAGAAAAGTTTTTAATGGGCTGAACTCAACTGGATTTCAACCCCAAATATGGATTTAGCATTTATTAATTCAGTAGTCTATTCTACCTTATATCAAAACTTCAGTATATCTTAACTTAACTTTCCAAAACTGTGAAAGAAATGAACAAATCGGAGAGGTGGGAAATGATTGTAATACAGCTGTTTTCTGACCATTTTGAGAAGATAATTTAGACAAAATGGATGTACAGATTTATCAGTGCTTACTCCACATGTGATCGGCTTGAGGGTAGCCTTATAAAGCAATTTTTGCCAATGCAAGAAGGAATTCATCATGCCAGGGATTTGGTGGGCTCCAATCCATTTCAATTTAAAAGCGCAGTCTGTCTTTAATCGCTGAATTCAGAAAATGTCACTGATTCAGATAGGAGAGCTTCATTCTCATAGTTCACGATTTCATCTGAACCTCTCAATTAAATTGGAGCCTTTATTACTCTCTCCATCACTGCACACTCCCAGCCATTTGTAATTGCAAATGTAATAAAAACAGTGTACAGAAACTCTTGTAATCTACTGCAAATATTCTTCAATAAACCTTTGGCAATGATTTAACTGCAGGAGAAAAATAGACTTGAACAATTTAGCATGGGAAGGATTTTGTGAAACTGACAAGAAGCCTTAATCGGGCTCAAAAATAACAGCAATTCATAAGAGAATACACGTTATATAAAAGATCATGGGCCTGTTTTTAGCCTATAATATAATTTTGTCTTAAGATCACACAGGATTATAGCAAACACTTAAGTACAGTCTTCACTTGGAAGTTTTATTCAAAGCAGTTCTTAAAAAGTGCAGCTTTTCAAATTGACTGAATTTGAGTACTGTTTTCTCAATTTGTCAGAATCTTCAATTTAAAGATAAAATGATGTTATACAGGCTAAAAATAGGTGGAATTATTCAGACATTTGACCTCACAAGGAGTGAATATTTATTAAATGCCCAAACTTCATTCTCAACGTTTCTCATCTAATATTCCTGAATAAATTGAATTTTATAAGCCCTTCCCAGATCGTTACCTTTCCAACAGCAGTTAACTTAATTAAAGGAACTATTTGTATTTGTAGAAGACTTTCATCTGTTATGATCTGTATTGCTTTGCACAAATTAGCTTAAATGGGCTCATCCATCAGGTCAAGCACCTCACAAAATCACCCGATCGGTTTGGATGAAGAAAGCCCTTCAACTCATCTCATTATTCCATAATCCCCACTGTCATAATCCCATCACAGCATCTTTTTAATGAGCCAGTGTGCTGGCCTCAACCACCTTTCCCGGTAACCTGTTCCAGTTGCTAATTACCTCCTGGGTTAAGAAAAACTTCCTGGTAGCTGTTCTAAAATTGTCCACTGCAACTGTAAATCTGTGTCCTCTTGTAGTAGCAAAGGGCAAAAAAAGGTGCAGTTTTCTTCTTCATTTGCAGTGCTCAGGAAGCATTTTTTCACCCAATGGGTAGTGGAAATCTAGAACTCTCTCCCCCAAAAGGCTGTGGATGCTGGATACATTCAAACTTTCAAGACTGAGGTGGACAGAGTTTTGTAAGGTAATGGTATCAAGAGATATGGAGCAAATACAGATAATTGGAGTTGAGGTATAGATCAGTCATGAACTAATAGAATGGTGGAACAGGCACAAGGGGCTGAATGGCCAAGTCCTGTTCCTATGTTCTCCAAAGAGAGTGCGACATAAATGATGCAGTCAGAACCACAATAATGCTATTGAATTACTAGTGGCAATTTTTTTTAAAAAGAAAAACTTCACACAAAATTTAAATTAAAAAAACTCCTCATATTTACAAATGTTCTTGTGGTGCAAACTTTTCCCCGACAATGGACATGGTGGTCACTAAATTCAGCTGTCCAGAATAGACTGTTGAGGCTATCCATACGCTTCCCGATATGTAGCTAACTTTGCTTATTCAATTGGGTTAATTTGGCACCAAGCTACTGGGAGGGGATTACTATATAAAGCAGAGAAGAACTGGGCCTTGGAATACCGGCTTTCATAAAGCTCTTCTGTACAGAGCTAACATGCTTAAGAATCTGCAGTGAAGCCTTAAATCAACATTACAGGTGATGAAAAGAAACCAAGTTGGTAGTGGTAGATTCACTGCGGATCTGCACTCAATATTTATACATTTGTCTCAGTTTAATTCAGTAAGCACAACTCTTGAAAGATAATAAGAATTATGAACTATTTGCGGAGTCTATCAATAAATGAGACAGTTTGAAAGTTAACAATTGAACTTGGTTACCGTGTAAAAATAGTGAACAAACTACAATCCTCTTTGTGTAAGTTTTATGATCTGGAGGTATCAGTTTTGAGAAATCCTTAATTAAATGGACATTTGTTTTTTGATCAAACACTATGTGTGGATCTAAGCCTGCAGAGCACGTGCTGAAAGAATGTATAAAAGTACCCCTTTGTGGGACTCAGATTCAACTCAACATGAAAACACGTCTGAAAGGCAAAGTCATACTGTATTTAGTAAATTGCACGGTTTCAGTATAAACTCTAAAAGCACAATTCCTACTATGGATTTTCTTTTAAATTTCTCACATTTAAATCCCTCCACAGCCTGGCCCATCCTACCTCTGTGACCACTACAGTCCCACTCACCCGAGCACACACTTCACTCAGCGAACACTGGTCTGCTTCATATTCCTGCTGCCCACCCCCATCCGCCCCACCTTTGGCAGATGAGCGTTCAACAATGCTGCTCCCGCTCTGTGGACCTCCGTCCTGAAGTCCCTCCAACTCGACCACTCCCTCCCCATGTTAAACACCGCCTCAACTTAGCTCTTTTACCGCACTTTCAGTCACCTTTCCCTTCAGCTCCCAGCCCCCAGTTTGGGTGCCCAGTCAGCAGTGTGAAGCGCTTTGAAACGTCCCCCCCGACATGAAAGTCGCTATGTAAATGTGAGTTGTATTGTATTGGCTAGCATGGTCAAAAATCACAGTGTTGTCCTCACCTGCTGTCCCCGGCATTCGATACATAAAGCTTTCCCATCATGCACACCGCAATCAAAGCAGTGCAGCCCCCTGAGATATTGTACGTGCTCTTCTCTCGTTCGATCTGGTCATCCTGTAGACAGCAATACAAGGGGAGAATGACACTATTACTCTACAGGCAGTCCTGCTTCTACCAATGTTCCAGGGCTTCAGTCTCCGACAGGTTCCTCAACAGTGTCGAAAGTATTTTAATGAAATGGAAACATTTGCAATAAATATTAAGACAAGTGCTCTTGAACCGGATCTTTAAAAGCTTTTCTGAATTTTTTGAAAATAAACACTTAGCAAGGTATTAAGTAACTGTATTTAAGGCATTGAAAATGGAAGGGCAGCATACTTTTGGTAGGAATTGACTATTTCCACTGTTTGGTCAGGAGTCAGAGAGCATCATTTAAGGATTATCACTAGAAGGAAAAAGGAAGAATAAAAATGACAGAGAGGATTTTTTTTTAGAATATAGACTGTTGAAGCAGATTACGCAGCTGGATTTAGAAACTTAAATACTCCTTGGAAAAGTATTGAAGGGTGTGGTGAAAGGGCAGGACAATAGGATGAGAACATACAGCTCCAATAGGACACAAATGAGGTCATGATAGGCCAAACAGTCCTGTAGCTCAGTGGTTAGAGCACTCGCTTTGCGAGCGAGAGACCTGGGTTCGATTCCTGGCAGGGCGAAACCTTGGGCAAGTTTCCTTACTCCACACGCCTAATAATAATCCCTCAAAAAAAAAATAATAAATTGGTCACTTCAATCCACGACTGTTTGTGGGACACTGCTGTGCGCAATTGGCTGCCGCATTTCGCCCACAAATATACAGTCAATTCACTTTACAGTCTATTCTGTGAAGCGTTTTGAGACACCTAGAAGACGTGAAAAGCGCTATATCAAATGCAAGGATTGTTGTTATTATTATTAACAGCCTCCTCTGCTGTAAACCTTCTTAGATTTCTTGCACGAACTGATATGAAAGAACACAAATACATCAGCAGTCTGGAATTATTTTCCATCTCTTCTTCACTAAACTCTCATTTGTGAAATGCTACACAACAGAACAAATGTTCTTCAAAATTTATGTGTAAACTTACTCTTACTTTCAAAGACAGATTGGTATCTTGCAGATGTAATACAAAAATTGGGGAACGGTGACATATTCTCAGGGAAAACTCATAGAAACTGTTGCCCCATTTATCCCATCACTCCAGCCCAGAGCCCTTCCATTGTCCATTTCAATCCAGTTTAGAAATGATTGAGATTTCTCCCCCCTCCCGCTCACATCTGAAATCCCTTCCCTTTGCCCTTCCTTCTCTGTTTTCAAAATCTGTCTATCTATTTGGAAAGACAATATCTGTCTATAAAAGCTCTATCATAGTAATAATATTCCTTTCATTTGATGTAGCACCTTATCACATCTTCGAGTCATCTCAAAGTGCTTCACAGAATATACTGTAAAGTGAATTGACTGTATACTTTGTGAGCGAACTGTGGCAACCAATTCCGCACAGCCTATCTCACTGACTCTGCCTTTTCTCATCTCTCATTCAGTAGGTGAATGAAAGATGAGCTCTATCTTTGCAAAGCACTTCGAGAATATTTTCCTTACGTAAAAGGTGCAATGCAACAGCGAATTGTTTTTGATAGACTTACAATATACAATAACGACTGCAGTTGTAGGCAACCACGGTTGTCAATTTGCTCATGGCAGTGTTCTGCCTCCCACTAGTACACATCCACTACACTTTGCTATGAATTCTGTGAAGCTCTTAGAGAAATGTTCCAGATGTGAAATGGGCAATGCAAGGATTATTATTATATAAAATGTATATAATGTTAATCATGTTTTAACAAAATGTTTCTGTGCAAATCGTAAACTTTTTTTTAAAAAAAACCTTGGGCAAATCAACAATTTCTATTCACTTTTTTTTTGCTCTGCACAGTCTTTTAAAAAACTATCATGTTGAAGGTCACTGATCTGCTTGTGTTAATCTGCATCCACATTTGTAACTTTAGACACTTTATAAATAGAATAATTTGCCATTGCACACAATGGCCCTCAACCACTCTAGGTTATAATGTTTGGCAAAAAAGAGCAGGGTTTGCCAAGATCTAATAAACTGGTGGAACTGGCTCAATGGGCTGAATGGCCTCTTCCTACTGAACTCTGGGCTTTCAATATTGAAAAGCACTATAACTTTGAAAAAAAAAAGTGGCTACCTAGAATTGTAAAGAAATCCAAATTTGGCATGTTCTGACAAACCAGACAAGAAAGAATCATTCAATATTCAATATTCCACTTAGTATCAGGACCAGTTTAGTAGCCCCGCTCAGTATCAACAACAACAACAAGATTCCATTTATAGAGCGCCTTTCACGTCGGGAGGACGTCCCAAGGCGCTGTATAAACAGCACAGGTGTAAACCGAATTGGGCCATGCTCCCCATGACTCTTTTCATCCAGCAGCACGAACATATTCCCATATACTTTCTACAAGTGTTGTTAAAAGCTAAGGATAGACTAAAATGAGCTGGAAATCATTGCAATTATAGGGGTTGAAATAAAACGTGATAACAGGCTTGATATGATAATTATATTGAAGCAGTCATAAAACATCGCAATTTTGCTAAACGAAAACCACTGATTTCATTTCACGGTTAGTTATTATTTATTTGATTTATAGCAAAAAAACACCCTCTCTAACAACTATGTTGATAATTATCAACACCTGAGTTACAGTGTTTGTATCCGGCGAGCACTAAGGCAAGCCTGTCTTAAAGTTCTCTTAGGGAGGAGATGGAAGGTTATTCCTCTGCAAAACAAATTTTAAGTAGGGTTTCCGTATACAAAGGGCTACTTGTGTACAGGAGTTCTTGCCTTATAAAAGACCCAGGCAGCTGGAATGCTATTCAATCTACAAGCAATGACGTCCCATGTTGGGTGAGGTTTACAGGTAGACTTTTAGAAAAGAGGGGGAAGAAAAGCAGCTGAGGCCAATAAGGTGTGCTACAATGAATGCCTCACACTCACACGGAGGAGCAATGATAATAGTATTTCCTTTAAATATTGGTTGCTAGGTGATGCAATCACACAATATTACATTGCTGTTCATCCACACATCTTGAATAATAAAAAAATCTTCCACGTCTTGAGTGTCTATCTGCCCCCGCACTTTTCCAGCTGGGGGAGGTAAGTAGCTTCTGGGCAGGAGAAATGAGAAACCGAAGGAAAAAAAATGACATAAATATCAGCAAATCTGAGCAGGTAACTGCGAGGTGGTATGGAGGTGACAGCCGAAAAAGTCAATCAAATTTTAAGCAGGTTGAGATCAGCTATCTGCTCCTTACAAATAAAAATTCCCGCTGTGCGTATTTCCTGCCTTATTCAAGAGGGTCGACAACAAGCTCACTTTGTAGGAAGGTTGCTGTTGCTAATTATTAATGTTTATAGACAGCTAAACTCCAATGAAAAATGACTGACAGCAATAAATAATTTAGCTTAGTAATATTGTTATAGGGATTTTAAGATGAACTGAAATAAACTCTATGCTGTGTGACCGAGGTTTGATTTAAGGTCAGGCAGACGGGATGAAAGACTCGTTTCCCAATGGAAGTCTGTAAAAGGAAAATGTCAAATATCAACCATTTACCTGCCAAATCACGAGTACCATGCTTTGCAACTAAAACACTTCCTGCCTTGTTTTTCCAAATAATGAATATCATTCCTGTTCTTTGCAATGTGCATTTTTAAATCACTGTGGATCACTTATATTTTATGTCGCGTCTGTATAGGTTTAATGAAGCTATGGCTTAATAGCACAGAGCTTAATTTGACCACATTGTCACCATCCTACCCAGAGAGATTGCAGGAAGAAACTATTTATCTTCCACAAGAGCTTCCTCTTGGTGGCAAATACAGAAATATTTGAACACTAAGAAGTTGTATTTGCTCATGACCTGACCTTGTGGGGTAGAGCATTTAGGCTCTGAGTAAATGATGGAAACTTTATGTATTACAATTATATATGACCCATGCAAATCTGAAAAGAGGCTAAAATAACTTGTAAAGACAGTTTCGGAACACATTTAATTTTATAAAAAAGGTATAAGAATGGTGATGTTTGCTCTTTAGAAGTAATTACTGTGTGAATCTTTCAGAAAGTGGGATGGCAAGATGGATCATTGGATGGGTCTACTCTTGCCTGAAATGTCTGCGACCATATACGTAAATACTTCCGTGGGTTAAAATTTTGCGGATGGCACGATGTTTCATCTTTTCCCCGAGTACTAATTAAGGGAAATGAAAATGGGTCATTATAAAGTGAAATGCAATAAAAACATTTTAAAAACTATACCTGTGAATAAAAACCTTACTAAACCGTTCTCGAAAGGTTGTTGCATGTCCACACACAGAGTTCAGCAGCTTTCATGCTCAGAGGTAAGATTTTTTTTTATTTTGAGATGATTTATTTTCATGTATGCTGTGTTGGTTTCGTGGTTTCTGCAGCAATTATTAAATGTGAAAATCTTTATGTACTACTGTACGTTACATTCAAGATGTTACCCACCAGCGTCACTCAAGGTTTTTTGGGTCAGCGAATGCAATGCCAGTATAAGTTTACAAGCTGTTTAATTTTTTGTAAGATAGAATCTAATATGGAGTTTAGAAGAAACATCTTTATGCAGAGAGTGGCGAGAATGTGGAACTCACTGGCGTTAGCTGTGGTCGAAGCAAATAGCATCTATTTTCCATTTAAGAGAAAATTTGGTGCATTTATGATGGAGAATCGAATAGAGGAGTATAGATGAGGGGAATAAAGGAATGGGGGCTCATATGGAGTACAGTGGACTGGGCTGAATCTCTCTATGTCAATTTATGCAATTACCGGGAGATTAAAAAAAACATTACCATGGATGTAAAGATCTGCTTTATATATAAAATAGTTTTCCACATCTTGCAGTATAATGGTGTTGCAGTGCAAAAAATTGCTGTGAAATTGAAACTGTAGCATTTTTGATCTACCAGGTAATCACCAGTTTAATACCTGCAAGATCACAAGAGACTTCTGTAAGATTCAATTTCATGGTGAAACAGCAGGATGGGAGATTTCTTTAAAATGCCTAAAAATGCTGCTGAATGCATTCCTTTGTTGTGAAATACTGTATATATAAGAAGCTGGAACAAAATTAGTGAAATCCAAATTTAGTTACCTAAATGGAAAATCCAGATTCTTCCTGTCGGTTTTTAAGCACTTTGAAGTATGACATGTGCAAACTCCTTGATCACAATTGTGAGGTTTTGGTTCTTTTTCTATAAGCCTCACAAAACTCTGAAACGGCATCTATGCTATCTGCTTTTGCCAGCGAGTTCCATATTCTCACTACCCTCTGCATGAAAAAAAATCCCTTCTAATTCTCTTTTAGATCCTCTTGATGAGATGGCTATTATCATTATGTGATTGTTTGTTGAAACACCTATGACAACTTGAGACTCAGTAAAGCACCAGGAATAATAGAATATAATAACAATAATTATAATAATAACACTATATCTTTTGCAGAGTATGGCTCAGTAATTTCTCTCAGTCAATGACCATCGAGCAGGTCATAAACTCTTAAACAGTTTGAGCAAAGCTAAAATCATCAAAAAGACAAAACGGATGTTAAATATAGTTTGTTGTAACTGTTAAAAAAGGAGCAATGATGGCAACGTCTGCTCCTGCAGGATTCTTTATTTCCCACAACTCCAAGATACTCACCATGTCTTTAAAAGCATTTTCAATAGCTCCAATGATCAAACTTTCATGTGAAATTTTCTTCTCTATGAAGAATCGTGTTGAAGGGGTGCTAGGTGAGCCTGGGACCCCAACTCCCCCCCGCAGGGAGGCAGCTCTTGTTAGTGTCCTAGTGTTATTCCCTACTTCAGGCTCGTCACCAAGACAGGTTGGAGGAAGCACTGCGGAGTTCCGGAGAACATCAACCACCTCTTGAAGATGTTCGGCTATTTGGTGGTGGAGGAGTTTGGAGGCGACCACAGCAGCACCAGCTCCCGCATGCCCATCAAACAGTGCCCAGTAGTTAAAGATAATCCCTTCGGTATCCTGAAAGAAGGGCAGATAGACCACTTCAGAGATGCAAAAGTGCACTTATGCAGAATACTCTTTGCAAATACCATTTACCAGTGCTGAGAAGCTCTTATAAGATTATTGAGTTTATGGGCTTTAATGGGAATTAACAATAACAGAAGTTGGGGTCCTCACTGTGTACGTTTACCACATTACAAGCAGGTTTAACTAGTAGCAAATGCAATCAAGACAATGGTCTCATAACAATAACTTTTATTTGTGAGGGAGGCAGTGAGATAAGGAGAAGTTACACAGGAAGGTCAAAGCTTTCTCTGAAGCATGTTCCAGCGAGCCTGCTTCACGCTGCCAGAGTTGGCATTCCTTCCTCCAATGTGCTAAATGAAATTCACAATCAAAGAAACACTCAGTGTAGGTTTCCATCAAGTTCAGTTTGGAGAAAGGACACAGCTTCAGTGGATTTCATAGCATGGTATGCTTTGGTTCAATTGTGCTCTTATACAAGCCTGTATTGAGAAGAATACACAAAGTAACATTTAGCTACAAATAGATGTTCAGGAAAACATAAATAACACAGGACTCAATTACTTGGTGTTGTCTAGCTGTGAACCTAGGCACTCTGGTTTTCCAGATTTGATTTCCTTGTTGGACCATCAACCTTCTTCAACCAGGGAGGGCAGCCTCCTCCCATGAGTCGATACTGTTAACTGCAATGACCAGATCACGAGAGATTGCCCTTCTGCTTTTTACTTGTCTTATTTCTCCTTCAAGCGCAACTCCCAGCCTCCACCCAGGGCCACCCTGCAATTGTAATACCAGATTCGAAACCGTGGCAGATTCAACCTGCGTTACACCATTTCTGGGTGATGCTACAATACACATCCAGGTGACTGGGATTCCATATAAATGCTTACCAGATCCTTGAATAGAATTCCAATGTACCACACCACTTTCCATTCATTCTTGTGAATAATTTCAAACCCAGCACGTTTCCCCAATCACCTCTTCTGCTAAAATGCTCAGCTCACTAAATACAACTGTGGGGATGCAACTGCTTTCTGGACCTAATGACTTATATATAAAACCGACTGTATTCTGCACAGTTTACCCTGCTTACGTTAAAATGGTGAAAGAGTTATTAACTGAGCTGCCGAACAAGGAAATGCAAATCAGCCAGCTTCACCTGCAGTTAACAGAAATTCAGATTCCGGCACAAAATATCTTGGCAAAAGCTAGGATTTTCAGGATAAATTATGTCTGCATTCAGTCAGGTGCAGCTGGGTGGTGCTATAGTTCTTGCTCAACGCATACTTGTAAGATTATGGCTAGAAATCCTGAGAGAGCCCCGCAATTCACACTTCTCTGCCTCCTGTCAACTAGGCTGGGCAGACTGTCCACACAAAAGAATCAATGCAGCCACTAGGGTTTTAAACATTACTAGCTGTTAGGAAAAAGCTCTTTGTTTTGATATCAACAGAGCACAATTTCCAAATCATTTGTTACCAAACTGATTTATTACAGGTGCATATTTTTCAGGAGGAAGAATTTGGCAAGGTTTTGCTCTTTAGAGAGGGGAAAAGCCTTGGTGACGTTTCCTATACAATCTTACCAAGTGCAGGTAACACAGTAAGGCATTTCGTTTCTTTACATTGCAACGCCACAAGAGGGTGCCAGCCTGGGTCAGTTGGTAACACTTTTGCCTCTGGCTCAGAAGGTTTTGGGGTTTGTGGGACTTTAGCTCATGATCTTCGCTGGCACTCCAGTGCAGAGCTGGGGAAGTGTTGCATCAACAGAGTTTTGGATGAGATGCAACACCGAGGTTTCATCCATCTTCAGATGGATGTTAAAAGATCCCATTCAAAAAAAAAGTTTTTTTTTTATCCTGGCCAACAAAGGTGCAGATAAATTGGTCATTCATTTCAATTACTGTTTGTAAGGGTCATCCTGTGCACATAACTGTCAAATTTACCTACAAAAAAACGCTTTGAAATGTGAAAAGGTGCAATAAAGTACAAGTTCTTTATTTCTTCTAAGTTTGCAAACTGGTGAATTAACTTTTTTTTTAGAAAAATAAAGTAGGTTTGCGAACAAGAATCCTGAGGCTGGATAAAGAACCAAAACAGGAACTTAGTCAAAAGAAAACCAGATCACAGAAATTACTGTAAAGCGGTGAAATGACTTCAGGAGATGCAACACAGATCAGACCAGACAAAGAGTAACCATTTGAAGACTAGCAGCATTTCTATATCGATTTTTTCAAATGTCCAAGATCACAATCATTGCAATTGATTCAGAGAATCCACAGTTTGTAGTCTTCTGCATTTTGCTGAATTAATAACACGGCGTTCAACATTACAATGTCACCGAAAATCATTCTGGGAGACAGCATAGGGTAGAAACTGTCAGTTTGATTCTATGTTATTTGTGATAATGGAAGACTTTCCTTACATGTGGGCTGGAGGCATGGGGGAATATTATTCATTTGTTGCAGTAAATGCAATAATAGGTACAGAATTGGGCCCTTGAGGAGGGAGAGAAATGGTTTAAAAGTGAAGGGAGAATTATCAATTGGTTGTTCCATCAGTGGTCCATGAGAGTGACATAAGCAGATGCCTCGGAGCAAGTTCCCTGCCCAGCTTATGGCAGCAGTTGTTGCATGACTCAAGGAAAACAAAAGGAAGAGGGGAAAAGAACATAAAGGAAATAGAAGGGCCATCACACACACATTAATAAAAAAAATGACATTTGAATCCTCCCACACATGAACGCAGCTGGGATTTGCAAAGACCCAGTCCTTTGTATTCAACTTGCAGAACTTATGATCTTAAATCTCACTGCGGTGTAAAATATCGGAAGACTGAGCCAAACAAAATATTCAGCCCATTTTGATGGAGCACATACAACTGTATTTACCATGCGTTCTCCCTACCTCTAACCTCCTGAGGTACATTGTTTAAGTTGCTGCCTCTCAGTCAGAATTAATTTTCTATATTTCTGTACTTTTCCATTATTCAGACATTATGCTATCACAGTGCATCATGGACATTAAAGACAAGGTATTGCAAATGATGGGGCAGCTGGTGTTCCTACCTACGTTTACAAATAATAATAATATTAATAATCCCCAATTATTTTTAGTTTTGAATCTTTCTCTTTCCACATCCCACTAACGATAGTGTCTTCAGGTGCTTCAATGCAATGAACATATTGTGGAGTCCTGTAGCGTATTGGTTAGAGCACTCGCTTCACAAGCGAGAGGACCTGGGTTTGATTCCCGAGCAGGACGAAATGTTACGCAGGTTTCCTTCCTCCACATGCCTGTTTACCTAGCAATAAGTAGGAACTCGGTTGTTAGTCGATTTGCAGGATTGCTTTTCCGGGGGTAATAATCCTTTTTAAAAAAAATTGGTCACTCAATCCACAACTGTTTGTGGTTCACTGCTGTGTGCAATTGGCTGCTGCATTTTGCCCACAAAATATATAGTCAACTCACTTTACAGTATATTCTGTGAAGCGTTTTGAGACATCTTGAAGATGTGATAAGGCGCTATATCAAATGCAAAGATTATTATTAGTATTATTACTGCACTTGCTGTCACTCAGCAGACCACTCTAAATGGCTTTGATGCTCTCAAAGCTTGTGTTCTCACTGGAGAGATTTATTAGTGCCTGAAGCAGATCAGCAACAGCTAATGCAGTCTGGAAGCAAAGCCATGTTCAAGTCATACTTCAGTGAAAGGTACATGAAGTGTCCTGACACACTGAGTCATGATGCAGTGCTTGTGGGTGAATGTACCCAATATGCATGTGTTCAGAGGCCTGAGGGATTAACTCCTAAATGTTGGTATGAGTGGCCAGTGTTTAGGTGGCCAGAAATGTATGCACTGTTTCAGTGAGATTGGAGCCGGAATCCAGTACATAATGAAATATCACATTCTCCATCCTGTAGAGGACGTGAAATTTTCTGATAGTATAGATTACTATTCTTCCTCATCTCCAGGTCCACCTCCTCCTGAAGCCAAGAAGATACGTAAAATCACTGGAAATCCTCTCGTTTCACATACCATTAAAAAGTGGGTGGGGTGGGAGAGCCAAGTTGCTGGGAAGGAAAGTACAGGGTGACCAAAACGTTGCGATACCCTTTCAATATCTAATAAGTCTTAAAGAAATGATGATAATTATTAGTAATTATTATTATTAAAATAAATGGGATCACGACTTTTTGGTCACCCTGTAGTTATTGAGAATTCTGAAACCAGGTATGTTAGGGCTCACTGTTCCTTTGGTGGCTTGCAATCCTTTTTTTTTTGCCCTGATACACATGATAAATTCAAGTAAATTCAGAGTAAGCGTATAAGGCAATCCTTCTGACCCAGTGCCCAGTGATCCATTGGTTTCACAACAACAATACTACATCTCGTGTCACAAAACCTAGAATTGTACTTGCTTAACCACTGGAACGCTATTTTCTGGGTCACCAGAGCTGCCTTCTGCTTACTGCAAACTGGAGATGTGGGATTTGTTATGATGGATTTGTTACAATGTGTTTATTAATGGCCAAATCAGGAGGCATGAACAAATTCTCAATCACTGCCCCTTTTTGAGTCACCAGGGGTTATAAAGCCTTACAGTTTACCTCAACAACATTTGAAATAATCAAAAAGGGAATTTGTTTTTTTTTGTCTCTCTTAATATGTAATAGGTACGTTTTCAAGACTTTTACCTGCAGGGACAGGTAAAACTCACTCCAGTCATGTATCGGCAGAACTCTATAATTTTCGCCCTTTTTCATTTTAGAAATTTATCCTCAGGCAGATAGGGTGTCAGTTTTAACACTTCTTCTGAAGTGCATCATCTCCAGCAAAGCATCACTTCTCCGAGTACTTTCTGCTTCAATTAGTTTACCGTCCCTCTGGTGCTTAGATCCATTCCACGTTCTGTTGTAATAAAGACTGCTTAAACCTATTGGAGGTATATAATCTTTTGATCTCAACTGATTGGAGACACTGGCACACAGACACTATTAACGGGTTCATTAAGCACTCAAGTGCTCAGTTCAGCGATGGAAATACAGATACAGGTTTAGCTGGTGAGCCAGACTGATATGGCAGTTCCACTGTCACCTGCAGGACTGAAATTTGTGGTTGAAGGGTGGGTGAGTGGCTCAACCAGCTAATTCTGTGGTTGGTGCTCCTGTTTGCTTTTGCCAACCACTGCACTGTGGATTAAAGCACAATGTTTATGCCACTCTGAAAACACAAGTGACCTCTCCTTGCTGACCTTCCTGCTTCGAAATACCAACAGTGTTCAAGTGGTACTAGTGTAATGGCACAGGGTCCACTTAAAACATATTGAGGTTTGACTCACTGGATTGTCTTTATGCTGTGACCCCTCCCCATTTGGTAATGATGATCTCCTTTTGGCGGATGAGTTCTTACTCGGTGTGATGGGGGCAGCAACCTTTTTCTTCACACGTATCACATCACAGCAAGCCTGGTCCTCATTGTGTGTGCTTTTTCCAGCATTGATAACCCTGGAAGACAACATATTAATACAATAAATACATACCACAGAACACGAACGCACCTATCAAAAACAATTAATAAAAATTCTTGCATTTGATATTGCACTTTACCACATTGTCGAGACACCTCAAATTGTGCCTCACCCCCTCCCTTGCATCCTTCAAGACCGTCGTCTTCGACCGTGCCTTCGGTCATCCTCCTATCCTCCCTGCCCTCCACTCTCCCCGATCCTAAGCCCCAGCGCGGGTCCAACTCCCTGTCTGTCCAGCGCCTTGGGACGTCTTCCCGACGAGAAAGGCACTATACAAATGTAATTTGAGGATCACAAGGAGTGCAACCCTATTCAATATTGAGTGAGACAATAAAAGTAGAGTGCTATGTTATGTAATAAGACAAGAGTAAAACCTAATTGAAAAGAGTCTGAGATCATTTAACATGACAGAGTTAAGGCAATGCATTAGAGTCAGAGTATGATGCTACGGAGTGTAACAAACTTAAATGAAATGGAAGGACTGAGAGTCTAGGCAGCACCATAAAACTAAAGGCAACAAATACATCTGAGACAAAGTTAAAAGTAATGGATGAGAATCTATGGTTATGTAACAGAATTAAAGGCAGATGGAAGGGAGCCATGAACTATCCAATGTAACAAGAGAATGAAAAGTATTGGAAGAGATTAGCGGCTGGGTAATTTGACAGAGAAAAAGTTAATGGAAACAAATTCAAGGCTATGCACATTAAGAAACAATAGATGATTATTACAAATCCAGACAGCAGCAAATGTTCTGTCCCACCCAATATCATCTCAGTAATCTTAAAATACAGATAATTTGATGCCTAGAACACAATGAGAGGGAAAATATTAGGGAAAATACACTTCCTTTGTTGATTTTCTGCACACTGATTATTTTTGCATGTGCATTTACATACATTACATACAGTTTTCAATACGTAAGTGAACTCAGGATTAACCAGCCTACAGTATAGGTTTAGAGACACGCAGAGTCAGTGAAATGTTGTATTTTGTGTGATGAATCACACTGTTCCTTTATCCACAATGGAGCTGTCTCAAATAAGGCAGATAATCTGTAGTTCACATTTCAAAACATTAAAAACATTACAAGGAGACCAAAAATAATTACGGAACTTGGCACTATCCAAAAAATCCAAACCCATTTTTGTGAAAAAAATATGCCAAAAATATGCAATAGTTAATCTTGCTTCGATTGTTATTCATATCCCTCTCCTTAATACACTCAAATGTATTATTCAAATTGATTAGCATCAGATGTTGTAACATAAGCAAATGAATACAGCACATGGGGATGGAGGGTATTTCCAAAGAACAATGACAATGTTAAATCGCCAAACCAGCTCTCTCACACAAACCATTCCATGTATTATACATAGATCTAGCACTGGAGGTTCTTCAAACCTCCCTTTTATTCAGCTTATGAAATATATAGAAAAGATACTGTTAGCTATTTATATCTGCGAGGCCGCAACAGTCCATACTAATTAACATTTAGCCACTTGTCCCTGAGGAGAAATCAATTGAAATTTATTTTATTGGGTCACATTGACCACATTGAGATTATTTTTGTTGCTCACCTGAAATTCTATTAACAATCTTGCCATAATTGTAATATAGTGCAGTTGAATTTATTGCCTGCTTTAGCCATTTGTCAAACCAGATTTGCTATAATGGTCTTTCAGAGTTGCAATGTAAAAATATAACAATTGTGCAGTGTTCCTCCACCTGTACAGTTCACAAATCCCCAAAAAACATTAGTGGAAGAAATACATTTTTATGATATATGTGAGTTTTTAAGAAAAAAACAATATAAGGACTGAACACATTTTGAAAAATCACAGCAGAGCCCATCATGTCTGTGCCGGCACTTTGAAAAGAGCTATCCAATTCAATCCCACTCCTCCGTTCTCTCCCCATAGCCCTGTAAACTTGTCCTCCCTATGATGCTTGGATCAGGATTTAACAAATGACCTTTAGAGGAAGAAAACAAAGTTTATTATTGGGAAATCCTCCTTTGAGTCAAAAGGGTAGGACAGAATACTTGCCATTGATGATATATAACACACAACACAATACCCAATTGGGTGGTGTTGGAGGGGGGTGGAGGGCTGATATTAATGTTGTTGAATTATTATGCTTCACAAAGTATAACAACAACAACTTGCATTTATATAGCACCCTTCACACCGGACAGCATCTCGGAGCACCCGTATACTATTGTACGACCAAAAATGTTTTGACAATTATTCTTTCCTTTTCACTTTTCCTCCCCGGAAAGCAGTGACAGATTTGGTTCATTGGACATCCACTGCCTTCCAATACCATGTCCAAGTGGCTGCTCTTTGCGATTGACTCAACGTATTTCTTAAATCTGTGACACTGACCTGCCTCTCAGGAATGTCACTCCATCTCCAACTATTTTCGGTAAGTGGTTCCCTCAAGTTAGTCATTTTCATAACATACTGTATTTCCAATAAGTGGAAGGAGCCCCAAATTGGGATTCTTAATTAAGAAATCAATTCCTTAGAAATTATTTTGTTAATTAAGAAGACCATTAAAAAAATACTACAAAATCAACCCTTTCACATTCAAAGCCTGGACAGGAAGTGTCAGCAGGCTTTGACTCGGGGATTTTTATTTTAAAGGGGATAATAAATTAAGAAGCCAATATCATTCCATACATCCAATTTGTCCAGAGTGTGTGGTCTCCACTCTAGCTTCACTCCCTCACTGGTTTAGACTAGAACTCAGCAGGTCAACGAAGGTCTTTTGGTTATAATTGAGACACTTTAATATATGATCAATTAATCAATGCTTATCTTCACCTCCCAAGGATAAAAGTTCATTAAGGATTCCGATACAAACATGCAATGAGATTATGATTTGCATATCGACAGTGAAGGATTGAGGGACAATGCACAGAACTGTTGAACATATTTCAAACACGCAGCACTTCCTCCTTCTAAATCTATAAATGATTTCTCTTTACAGAAATAGTCCCGCAGTCTTCCCTCCCCATTTCGGAAATACACATAAGATTGACTTAAGCACTACACATGCCTTGATGATCTGTCAGATATCCTAAAGGGGGTTGATGTTTAAATATTAATCTGATTCTATTGTATATCCATCACAGATGAATAAAAGTCTTTCATGAAAAAATAATCTTAGTACTGAACTTTCAAATATATTGAACAAAAGCTGGCCACACAGCATATAAAACCTTTGTGGTAATGATCGGGCAGATGAAGCATGATGATGCTCCCAAAAGTTTGTGCAAATAAGTGGCAGAATCAAGCCTGCAACTCTTCACCTGATGATTTTCTAAACTTTGTTGTGTAGTCAGGGACAGAAGTTATCCACTTCCCCCAAAATAATAATAATCCTTGCATTTGATATAGCGCCTTATCACGTCTCTGAGACGTCTCAAAGTGCTTCACTGTAAAGTGAATTGACCGTATATTTTGTGGGTGAAACGCAGCAGCCAATTGCGCACAGCAGTGTCCCACAAACAATCATGGATTGAGTGACCAATTTATTATTTTATAATTTTTTTTAAGGGATTATTACCCCCAGAAAAGCAATCAGCCAATCGACTAACAACCGGGTTCCAAATTACTGCTATGTAAACAGAAGCATGTGGAGTAAGGAAACTTGCCCAACGTTTCGCCCTGCCAGCTCTAACCACTGAGCTACAGGACTCCAATAGGAGCAAAGTTGCATCCCACCAGACAACCACTTCTTGAAGCTAAGATGAACACAAGGCCAGGCCGTCAACCCAACCCCTTGCCTGAGGAATTTGTTAGCCATCATTTGATAGGTAAATATGTAGCAAATTTACAAAAAAAATTGTCAGTTTTATACTTTTCTTTGAGCCCCCAATTTCCACAATTAAATGACGACAGTCACTCACATGAGATTTAAAGTAATGCATGACAGTACTTACTAAAATGAAGCACTCAAAGGCGTTTCAACATAAGTACGATTAAAATGCAAGTTCTTTCTTATGCACTTTTTAAACATTCTGTGGTAAGTAACAAAATTATTTTCTTTGAAGTTCAAATAACTGGACAAATGTATAGGTTTTAAAATGTTACATGTATTAATCTCTCAGCACAATTTAGTTGTATATTATTATAAATAATATATTACATATCAAACCAACACAATGGAAGGTGCATGTAAATTCCACATTAGCTGACTTTGGCTCCCATGAGGGCTGAGCTTTTAAATGAACAGTCCAAATCAATCTAAATTAAATTCAGTTGAGATGGTTTAAATCTGGACAGCCTGACCTTTCAAAATATCATTTTGCAATAGGCATTCACTTTTTGCTCTGTTCTGCTCTTGTATACTTAATGAAGCCATGTCCATTAACAAAGAGAAAAGGATTTGGGGTGTTTTATGACCATCCTGTCAGCCAGAAGCGATCATCTACAATGCTAATTTATATGCTGTGATGTGCATGAAAGACATTTGACGATAAATCGATACAATATAGTCTAGCCTTACGTACATTATTCATATTGTGTAGAACTTTGAAGGTCCTACCTTCTAAAGAAGATTGAAGAGAGTTCAGAGGAGTGGCAAGAATAATTCTAGGACACAAGGCAACCAGTTATGAAGACAAACTCATAAAATTGAGCTAATTTTCATTAAAATAAAGAAGATTAAGATGGGGCTTGATCTAAACGAAATGGATTAATGCAGGTACATGTGGGATGTTCAACTCGCACAGAGCTTGAGAACACATGTATAAAATTAACATGCCTCAAGCAAGATTTAAGATTAGGTGCTTAAAATAATGAAGGGAATTGACAAGTGGCTGACTCTTCCCTCTGGTTGAGAGATCTAAAACAGAGAAGCATAATCTCCAAATTAGAGCGAGACTGGTTAGGAATAAGATTTCTTTACACAGAGGGTTGTGAGAATATGGAATTCACTGCCCCTGAAGGCCATGAGGCAGAGTCAATT